ATAATTGAAACCTCTCACGTAGATAAGTTATAACTCGATTTACGAGTATATTTGTGTAAAAAAACGTTGTATTTATCTGTTATATTTATTTAATAGATACGACCTTCTCAAAGAAGATAATAACTGGCTTTCTAAGTTTTATGCGATCTTTATTATAATTGCGGTTTATTTTTTATCAATAGCCAAAGTAAAATATTCAACTTAGCCTACATCTATATATATAAAAGAAAGTCGTGTTAGTTACTTCGCTTATAACTCAAGAACGGCTGAACCGATTTAGCTGAAAATTGGCAGGGAGGTAGTTTAGAGCCAGGAGAAGGACATAGGATACTTTTTATCCCGTTCGACCGCGTTCCAATTTTTATGATATTTTAATTTTTGGATTTCTCTTAGTCCGGAATAGGTAAGTATTAAAACATATAATTAAAATGTGAGAAAGAAAGATTTTTTCTTTTTATATCTATTTAAAACGTACCTAGCGACGAACCCGAGCGAAGCGAGGGTGAGCCGCTAGTTATAACAATAAATGTCACATATCTTATGTTTACTGTCGCGTTAGAATATCTATTATATATTTTGATTCTGTTCTAAGCTATTTTAAAGTTGTAGAATGTGTTTATTTACTTCAATATGGCCTATTGAAATAAATTTAAATTAAGTTAAAGTTTAAATTTACTAATATTTTTGGGACTTTTGACTTATTTTATTACACATTTGGTTTGGCTTTATGCTTCAGTTTGATTTATATTATTTGACACAAGTTGACATATGCGAATATTTGCACAGTCACCTGAGATTTGTAAATAGATGGCGCCTTCTATATTCTGTATCCAAATATATTTTTTAAAATAGGTTTTATAAATAATATATTTAAAGAAAAATTTTACGTTTACGTTCTTTTAAACTTTTTGGCTATTTTTTGTCATTAGCGAAGGAAATTATAGAGTGTCGAGTAGCAAATTGATAGTGTTGAACTATATATGGCATACCGACATAGAACACCTTGGAAAAATAATATATTGTATGGCTAAGTGCTCTGAATAGTTGGATTTCTTTCGAAATTAGGACGATAGGTAAGTACTGATGAATCGGTCTATTTATTAAATCACTGAAGCGATCTCAATGAATACTGGTACAGAACAGCTTGCGTACTGAACTAGAGTAACTTTTAGATCAACAAATGGAAACAAAATCATTTGGCGGCTATTGCTAATTTGCATGTACATATAAAGTATTCCCATGCATTCTCCACTATCGCTGTGCGTTGGTCAATACTGATGGAATTTACAAGATAAAATTAATTACATCATAGATCTAAGAATAAATTTGAATCCAACCAGTCGTAAGCGTAACTCAATTATTCTAAATACATCAACACGCCGTCTTGCTTTCATTATGTACCGACAACAAATCAATGTTTCTGACGTTTCAATTTGTATATTGACACGTTTTTAATCTTCTTCTATTGTTTATAATGTTCGGAAGCTGTGGCATCCTTAGGCTGCACTTCTATTGGTGTTAGTATTATATTAGCAAGAATTTTAATCAAAATATAATAAATAATAATATTAATGCTGTATTTTTTAAACAAGATTGTGATGTTTATATGTGTTTGAAAGCTTATACATGGTTTATATGAACGTAGTACTGTTTAAATCACGGTGTATATTTTTTTCGTGAAAAAGATTTTTACGAGTTTCACGAAATTTCAACACTGCTACATGCGGCATTGCCACAGGTATATGTACTGTAACATGTTACATGGTAGATATCACGTATGACAAAAATCCAATTCATGCAAAGTTAAATAATTACATATAATTTTCATAATACTTTGATTTATCGCGTAGCTATAATATCTAATGCTATACATTAGCACACATCACATAATACTATACACATTAGTAAAGCAACAGCCTTATACATTTCTCACATACTTTTGGTAAAATGATAAAATATTAATGCTTCAAATGTCGTAATAGTAATAAATCATCAAGCGATTAGTTTCTTTTTGTTCTTATTTCTTATGCATATCAGCAGGCTTGTTTAACAGATATAAATTATTTAGATATACTACAAATTTGTTACAGTTATATGGACCAATAAATCGACAGGTATAATCCCAATATCGTGTTATTGGCTTAACTAACTTATAAATTATAATTAATATATGTTATTCTTATTAAAAGCAGTCAAATATTTAAATTGAGTTAATTTTAAGTTAATTTGAACTGATTTATATGTTATGAGTTACGCATTTTACGCAGTTATGTTTTGTGAGTTTCTCAATCGCTAGTTAATTAATGAAGATCAATATTTAGATTATAACTAGCGCTCTGTCCAAATTGCACTCGTCTGCTTTTCTTTAAATGTTAACTTGTAAAATGTTTTATTCTGTATACTTTGTAAACTCCTTGTAACCCTTTAGAAGTTTACCTAAATTAAATTTCTTAGCGGTTACTATACTGTGAGTAACAAGTACTGTGTACGTAATTATAACTATGTGCTATCAAAGTTTTAGGATTTCAAGTAGAGCGGTTTGATCTAAAAGCTTATAAAATCAGCAGGTCACAAGATTCTAAGTTTGAGCTTCGGTTAGACCAAAAAGTTTCCGTAAACACATCTGCACTCAGTAAGATTGAACACTGTGGGGTCAAGAATATGCAACTATTTTAGATTAACTAATCCAACTCTGTCCACGTAATTTTAAAACACAAAGTTTTCGACTCGAAAATAACCAAGTCATAAATTCACCTATAAGAGGTATCAAAAATTATTTGTTTAGATTTACTCGAATATTTGACATCTATCTATTCTAATATTATAAAGAGGAATAATTTGTTTTTGTTTGTTTGTTTGTTCAATACAAACAAACAAACAAAAAACAAATTATAGGCTCCGAAACTACTGACCTGATCTGATCTAAAATTTTGTAAGAAGATAGTTTGAGACCCTGGAAAGGACATAGGATAGTTTTTATAACGGAAATCATCCTTAAAGGGTGTGAAAATGGGGGTGAAAATATGTATTGGGGAAGAGACCTAGGTAAGAACCCGTCCGAAACGAGGGTGAGTCGCTAATTTTGAATAAAAGTATCTTTTCGAATTTTTTCGCGGATTTATTAGGATTTTTGGTATTAGAAATTAAAATAAATCCGTTCAAATTAAAAAGTATCAAAAATTATTTTCACTCATACAAATTTTCTGGTTAAAAAGTCTTTGTGGTGCCAAATCGTAAGTTATTCTTACATTTATTTTGTTATTAATAATAATTGGTATTTTATCTAATATGTAAATTTTTAACTAATATTTAAATTATCCTTATAATAGAAATGAAATTAAAACTTTCAGTAACATGTTTTTCTTAAGAAGCAACGAATAAAGCATTTACCTAAACTTAATGATTTATAACAACCGAATAATCATATAAACTACGCGTTAGCACTTAGCGGGCAATTATCTATTCGTCAAGTGCATGCCAATTAAATTAACTTAACTTATAAATGGTAGATAGTTATTAACTAACTTTATAGTTTGTTATTAATAAAAACTTAGGTTTTTTTTCCATTTTATAATATCTTTTGTGTACTGGTTATCTTTTCTGAATAAATTTGTCAATATATCTGTTTGATGAACACATTCATTCCACCGTCATTGAAAGTAGTGCATTTGTTATAAGCAGCTGGGCGACCGAGCATAGTTTTCTTTTTTCGAAAAAGTTGCGTTTTTCTAAAAAATCTCACTATATATAGATAAACATAAAGCAAAACTTTATCTAAGTACAAAATTTGATCCAAATCGTTAGAGCGGTTTCCGAGATACACAAAATAAATTGCCTAAGCTAAAGAAAAAATCTATTGAGATTTGCTTACTAACCCCAAAAACAAAGATTTTTTTTCAATAAATAACAAGGATATTTATAATTTTTCTATATGTATATATTTGTAATCGTGTGGGAAGCCGATCTCCGAGATCGCTGCACGATTTATGTAGTGAGTTATTTGTTTTACGTCAGATATTGATGGATCTGAGATTCTTATTTTTAGTTCCGACACGCGCTCGCGTACTAGAGAATCTCAGGGATCATCAAAGGTATATCGGCATTCTTTCGAATAGTGTTTATTGAAACGTGCTCAAATAAATTTGTGAGCTTTAACATTAAAAGTTTTTGTGAAACATATAGAACTTACTGTATATCAAATAAGATATTACTCTCAATTTATGAAATATGTCATAAATTATTATTAATATGGTATTAGGAGGTACAAGATACAGAGGAATTTTAGACGTATCAAATTGAATAAACAGTTGTATAGTAAATATTAAAAAAAAAATGTTGGGACATTAACACACATCACCATCTAGTTCCATGGTAAGCTACGAGGCTTGTGTTATGGATACCAGATAGTTGATACACTACACATATATAACTTTAAATACGTACATATTATAAATATAAACACCCATGACTGGAGTACAAACATTGTGCTCATCACACAAATGAATGCCCCCAGCGGGACTCGAACCCGCGACCGCTGGCACAGCAAGTAGAGTTATTACAAACTGAGCCAAACGTGTCGTCGTTATTGACCTGCAGGAATCAAACGTGTGACCTGATATATTGTATATGGGCACCGTAGCTGGTGGCTGACTTGCAAATTAGACCTGCCTGCATTATGCCGCAATAGGATTTACAGGCAATGTCTTGTAATTTATTATATTAGATTTTTGACTATCTATTGAAATAATTTACATATATTACAAATCATTGTGTACTAGGTCAATAAATATATACAGTATACTCGTAATATATGTACATATTTTTTTTATTTTACAGATCCTTCACAATGCGCTGAAAGCAGATAAGTAAAATGACTGAAGTCGGCGTCACGTGATAAGAATTATAAAAAAACCTTATTTAAATATTAAATATTGATATTAGTTAGTGCTATAATAATAGTTTGACATTTTAGTGAAAATCATAACAGAACTGAAGCCATCATGGAGCATCAAGGAAGGAATTTATTTTATTTATTTATGTAAGTAGTAAGCTTTAATATTTTTTATACCTATTACTAGGTATGTACTTACTTTTATATTTTTCACGTCATACTCTGATGTTGCTTCTTTCTAATCGACTTTAAAAAATAAAGAGATATTTAATTAGGTTCATTTTTTATTGGTTCGTTGCGCAATGTCCTTGCCAATTGTAAATCAATTTTCATATTTTTCTGTCTCCCAAAAATAAAAATAAAAGTTAAAAATCGTAAGAATAAATAACGTTTTTATGTTTTAAATGTTTAAAATTTTTTAAATGATTTTGAAGTCGTTGCATATTTTTTAGAAATTGCGCTTAGAGGCTAATCATTTATTATACACAATTTACTAAAAGTAAGTTTTACTACGGGATATACATTAATGTTATATTTTTTAATTTATATTTCGAGGATGCTTAGAATGCAATATATTGAATTTTCAGAATGTTTATTTCTATACTGTTACGTAGGTATCTCTTGAAAATGGCTGGAAGGATTACCTATAGATTTTTTAATGTGTTTTTATATTATTTACTTATAATTAAAAACATAATATGTACATACTTAGTCCAATGTATGAAGTTGATCCAACTCTAGTTTAGCTTTTAAAATATGTAGCAATTTACGGCAGATCCCAATATCTATCTAACTGTGGTTTTCCTTACTAACGATATGAATTTGACATGATTTGTATGGAGCTCTTGTCAAGTTTCAATCAGCTCTAGTAAGAAAAACTTCAAGAAGAGGAAAGTACGACACAATTGCTAGTAAGCTACTCCTGTAAGAATCATAATATTTTTTTTCGAACATATTAATTTTTTATAGTAGGTACAATATCCAACATCATTGATATTTATTGCTACAACTATAAACTTCATATATGATATAATTCGTCGTAAACAAGGCTTAAATTAAATTAACAACTTGTAAGTTACAATTGTAAGCCGCTACATCGACACTTACTCACTTAGCTATCATCGTAGTCGTTATTTTTAATTTATGTGATTTTTATAGACACATAAATTACCAAATCTACAAATATTTCTATTTTAAAATGTTTCCCTCTATGTAATTATTGTGTTAATTATTTTATGATTAACTTATCTATACTTAGTAGTTTGTTTAATCTACGATGAGTAAAAAAAATATGAACTTCTAAAACAGTACGGATTTGAACAAATATTATCAACTTGCTGATGATGATTATTTCCAAAATATTATTAAATTTTAACATTATATAGTATATCAAAGTTTTCTGATTTTACGATAACCTTTAGTATTTCACAATTAAAATGGGACTACTTTCGTTTTATATTGGTTTGAAATTGCATGATTACGTGGTTGATATTTATGAGCGAGCATTTTCGTGGGCGGTCCAGATCCGATTTACTAATTCCATGTCATTCACTTGGTTAAAGAGCTTTCCTAATTTATAAAGTTTAGACTCCATTAAACTGCATTTTAATGGAGCTTAAACTAGGAAAGGCTAAAGATTTTTTGGACATGTAAATGCAGAGCCAAGCAGTTGTAGCATAGTGGTGAAGCGCGCGCTTAGAAAACCAAGTGATGCGGAAGCTAAGAATTGCCCAGCCGGGCGTGAAGCCATGAACACCCAGGGAGGTAGCACACTTCGGTAGGCGGTATACCATGCGGATTGCTTCTGGTACTTCTCTGTCAGCAAAGTGGACCGAAAAAGCAACTTATTGGTTGTGCGGTCTGCTTCAGCAGGCTTGACATCGGAGCATCGTATCGTAGCGATCCTGCGACGCCCCATTAAGACGGGGGTGGTTCTGTTGGGCTTTAGTGGGTAGTACTTACTGCCTTTTCTCGCTAATGAGTCCCACATAACCACCTGGATGTAGATATACAGGTGGTATGCGTAAATGCATTTCCCAACATTAAAAAAAAAGGTAGGCCAGTAGTGACTTGAAAAACGAAGTGAAGTAGGTTCACATCACGGGTCTCGCTCCTTTGATTTTTTCATATGCTAATCTTTTCCTACACTAATACCCCTTGCCTTACGGCGAAGGAAAAATTCGCGAGGAAACCTGCAAGTCTGAGAGAACTTAGCTAGTTTAAGAGACATGTGATCTACCAACCCGCAACCGACTATGGCGTTATCCCTCCCTTATTGAAACCATGAAAAGGCATAAAAAACTTTTATTAGAATCAATCACATTCATTTATATCACTAATGCACAGAAGTAAGTACTGAATTTCTTTTTAATATATTTTATGCTTTGCTTCTAACCAAATTACTGTTAATATATCTCTTGGCTTTAATTAATCTTCTACGATTTTATATAGGGGTCAATATTATAAGCTTCTTAAATTTTTAGAAAAAATATGAAGGCAATATAGAAAAAATATATGGTAAAAATGCACATGATATCGCTAATTTTGAACAGTTATAAATTCTCGTAATACTTACCATTAAACTTATTATACTCGTATCAATGTCAGTAATAGTTGTTAGGATATAGATTATCAAAAGAAATTAGAATCGTTTCAATGGGCAACATTCCTTAGAGAAATGCTGAGGTGTCAAAATACCTGTCCTTATTTATTACCTGTCTATTGAATCGGTGGACACGTTCCAGAAATCGCAACTGGGCAAGATTTACGGTCGCGGCATTAGGGATTCGTTTATCTACGGTTTGTATGTAAATTTCATGTTTGGATATATTCGTAAATATGTATATTGTTGTTAAAATAGATTCTGACTTATAATTTACATGTTTTACATTTTAAATTATATAAACTAGTCTAGGCTATATATTCTACTTAGCGTTCCATTTAGTGCTTTTAAGATTTTTTTTTCTTATTTTTAAGTTTTTCTTACAGTATAAGGTTTTCTGGCTAACACAAAAGAAAGATTTGAGGTAATACAAAGATTGTATAGAAAAAAACCAATTTCAATTTATCTCGATTTTCCTCCTACCTTCCATTTCTCCTAAAAACCTTATTCGCTTTAACATGAACATTTTAACCATTTCCCTGTCCCATGAGTCATATGTGAACATTTCGATTGTTTAACTATTGTGTCGATTTTGCGGACAGTTAAGTTGTTTTTTAATTATAGATATTAGCGAAAAGCATTTTTATTATATAGTCTTTATGGTGCACTTTGTCTTAACCAGAACTGAATAGGTACATATGTATACGCATGATCAATAAAAATATATTTAATCCTAGAAATAATCGAACCCAACATGGGTTTGGCGCAGTAGATACTCTCAGTGACATACTCGCATGTCCCACATATGAATATCTTTTGAATTATTACGCAGGTAGGTACTTCAAGCAACCTCAGTAAAGAAAAATGTAAATTATTTAAATCTTTAAGTATATGACTTAGCTATTAAACCTTAGAGGCTACTTTCTTCAACCTATACAATAGAAATTGTTACAATTAACTTATTTCATGATTCTAACTACAAAAAAAATATAATAATATTTACATTTACCTATCTACTTTTAATATGAATGGGTAAAATTGCCTTCAATGATTTTATTTATTGTATTTTTTTTTTAATATTGCATAATACTTTGTTCCCATGTCAATGCGAATGCGGTCAGCAATATCAGATGGACAGTTTTTGTTACACAAAATGTCTCCCACAGTACAAAAGCATATTAAAAAGATTCAATCAACTGTAATATAAAAACTTAGCATATCTAGATTATAGGCATTCCCAGTGATTCTAAAGGATGACCTAATGTAGCCGAGCCCACAATGACATAACAAATCATTTCAACCATACATTATTAGGCTATAAATCTTTTATAATTACTCTGCATTATACATTTCTATTTATATTTATCCGTACATATGTACGAATTCACTGTGCATACTATAATAATGTTATAATTTCTATAATAATAAATAATAATTATTTTGAAAGAACCTAGTGCTATGTATGTAATAATTTCTTATTTTAATGTCAGAGAGGCGACGTGCATATATGTTATGGATATTATTCGTTTTTTTTTATCTAATAATATTCAAGTCTCTCTAGGTTAGTCCACTTAAAAAAAGTATGTGGTTTGTTCTTAATTAAAATACCTCATGTTACATAAGTAATGAGAATTTAACAACTTGTTAAAAATATGTATTTTCATTCATTTTTCTTAAATTTTTCGAGCACGCCCATTTATTTAGGCATATGTTTTATTATGATTTTTTTCATTTACAATGTTGCATAATATTAAATTTAACCAAAGTTTTTGAGCTAATTTTTAAACCTTTCATTTATTGTAAGAGATTCTTTCAACTTGCTCTATATTCTGTGACTACCAAATTTAATTTTTTTAGATTCTGATCATAATTTCAGCAGACGGAAAGACAGAAATATTTGTATATTTCCATTCTTACAACGATTGCCACTTACGACCAAGTGGATCGATTGCTGTTAAAAACCTTTAAACTATAAAAAAATCTATATCGAGACAAAACTCTTAATAGTTTAAACATTTTTTAGTTTCACAAATGGATAAACATGAGCTTTCTTGGGATATAATGATGATTCTCTTTAAAAATAGGAAAAAAGTTAAATAAGTTACAACTATAATAGACTCATAGAAAATTTTAGTTTTACGCAAAAAATGCCTTATCGTAATAATATAATAATAACAAAGTGATAAATGATATTTTTGAATTGTGGCTGTAGGACTAATAAATATTTAGATTTTATCGCCAATGCCGTTCAGGTTTGTGAGCTGAGAAAAAACTTGATTGATTAACTTATAATCGATAAGCAAATTAATTTATTCGATTCGAATGAACCTTTCAATCGCTGTCACGGGCAAAGGCCTACTTGTGCGAGAAGTTTTAAGTTACATACGAAAATAAGATAGGTATTAATAACTGACGATAACATGCTTTAACATAATATGTACATAGGTACATTGTTATAAATGTTATGAACCGATTTAAGAAGCTCTAATAGTATAGAGTAACTGCTATATTTATCGCTTTCACTTTCATTGGTATAGAGACTAGA